GGGGGGTTTGAACCGCTATTTGTCTGATCTGTCGTCTAGGACCTGTTTACCTTGGGAGACCCTACCAGGGGCATTAAGCCCCCGACAACATAGCTCCTAGGTTAATTCGGATACTTGAACCCCTCCACCACGTTAAGGTTGCGGTTCAAGGAGGGGTGGAATTTCTTAATTGATCTAAATTAGTGGTACTCAATCTATAGTATGCTACTATTGTTGGCCAGGGGCGCTTCCCATGGTGCGATTTTTGTAACTTTCTTGTGTCGTTTTTGTAAAAAAAAAACAAACAAAAAAACGCTCAATTGTCTCGCACTGAATAACTAGACTAAAACAGAGAATATTAATATTATAAGTCATGAGGTTCCAATACTGCTCCCCCGGAGGAGCAGTTACCACTTTACAGTTATTTTAACTTTACATGTTTAACCCTTAAACCCTTTAACCATCTTCATTAAACCCACCATGACCCTCCGTCCCCCACCACCGTCACATGTTCAGAGTAAAAGGTCGAGTCATTGTAGACAGGCAGTACCAAGATGGCGCTGAGCGAATGACCCAAATGTACTAACATACCAGAGGTGGGTTTATAAAAAACTTGGTGTGGGCCGGGCCGCTGTCCTCTCTGTCTACCACCCCAAAGGGTTACCCTGGAATTGTTATTCCTCTGTGAGTACGTGGAGGAATGTGAAGTAAGGAAGCTGCTCCTCTTTGTTATTGTCATAATAAGTGACTGACACCATCGTGACACCGATATACTGTACAAATATGCAGCACAGGTCACTGTGAGCGAGGCCCAACTTCCAGAATATTCTCTGTGGCGTTTAAAGGCAGTACATGTACAAGTAAACAGAGACTGTTGACACAAAGCCTGTCTCATTTCTAAATCAAGCTGCAGTGAAGTGAGTGGAGCAGGAGGTGGGAGTAAACCTCCAGGAATTTGAAACAGGTGTTTAAGCTTGAGGATCTGCCTGCCAACGTTCTACTCCCAGTCCCTTAAGTCTGTCCAGCTTTTTCATGTCAAGACTCGCGATTAGTGAAACGGTCCTATCACACAGAGATCTGAGCGGCTCTGCTTTCAATCTGCTGTATTAGTGAGAGACAGGATTTTGTTGCTGGTCACTGCAGATTAGGAATAAGATTAAGAGTCTTTGAAATATTATACAGTATTTAAGGTTCTACATAAAATATTTTTTACTAATGTATATGAATGAATTGTTTTGTCCACATTTGTCTGTTTATTTGACTCATTTAGACATATTGTATAAAAATATGCATGTAAAAAACTCATTGATAAAATAAAACCAAAGATTAACGTTAATATTAGGTGGAGACAAACTGTAAAAATGTACTGCCTTAAACCTAAACCTATCTGAAATACTACAGTAGTTAGGCTACCTGTCATGTGTACTGTAAAAAACTAGTTTTGTAGTGTGACACATACATTTTAAATAACACACAGGTTCATATATTAATAATTTTATTTAAAAGGTTTTTTTATTATTATTATTTGTCTGGTTGACTGAAAATTTCAAGACCCCGAGCAGTACATTTTGTGGACCCTCTGTTGAAGACCACAGTACTAAAAAGTATAAATCAGTACTGCATAGTAATTTCACAAACATTTTAACCAGATGAGAAATATATTTTTTATATAATGTTGTAGCCCAAAAGTGAATTTATTTCACTAAATGTCAGGCTGCGTTTCAAAATTATAGATAGAGATGATAAAAATCGGAATTGTTGAAAACAATTAATAGTATTGTAAAAGCAATTAACAACCATAAACGTTTCTGTTGAGCCCTAGCACAAACTGACGACACTGGCTAACCGCTAGCGTAAAATGAGCGTTATGTTCCGAATATATATTCTCCCTCTTAGCTGTCACTTGTTAATGTGACTTAGCAAAACTTTTATTTTATTTTTTGGGAGGGAGGAGGTCTGTTAAAATATAGCAACACAGTTAAAAAGCAAAATTTGAAACGGTTATTGAAACTATTATTCTGTATTATAACTTTCTAGAACTTCGGCCTGGGTATACGTATATAGATGTTCTTTAATGTACTAGATGTCCTCCCACCGTGGAATGATATTAGCCCTAAAAAGTGACATAAAAAACTCGGACCTTTTATGATTTTCTTACACTAAAAGGTTAACGGTTTTATTTGTTTGACGTTTACGAAAACAACGTCCATGTCTGACCTTGGTGTCGCCACTTGCCCCGGCTCTAAATACACTGTGGACGGCAGCAGCAGCCGCTTTTGAAAGTGCTCTAAAAATAAAACTGAACTATTTCTCATATCATTGTGAGCTGTTGTCCTTCCAGTCATTTATCATCAGCCACACAATCACCAGCTGTCATAAGTCAAGTTTCCCTTCGTGTCCCCGGAGGATCACGGAGGACCCGTACCGGGACTCACCTGACACTTCCACGAAGCCTTCCCTCGTCTTCACGTGGAGCTCCTCTGGTTTGAAGCTGTGGACGTTGACACAAACCTTCCAGGGTTCGCTGGTGGTGGTGGCGATGGTGGTGGGGGAGCTCCTGGAGCTGAGCTCACCGTACCTGCCGCTGTACATAGCCGGGCCTCCGGTGGAATGGCGCTGGGGGAAATCTGAACGTAAAGAACCGCTGAAGGACGACGAACCGAGGTGTGAGCTGAGCCGGCCCGACCTAGCCCAACCTGGCCAGTCCATTGCTAGCTCATCGGGGAACGAAGGCATCCCGAAGTCCTCGTCAATAAACCGGGTCGCCAGCTGATCCCGGAACGGTGACTGATCCCTGAAGGGCGACTCTCCAAACAGGTCCCTGGGAAACCTCTGTCGGTTCCCCATGGTGTAGTAATCTCCCTCGGCCATGTCCTTCAAACTTCAACCGAACTTTTACTTTTCTTTAAATAATAAAAAAATAAAATAAAATAAAATCTCCCTTTTTTAACACCCACAAATCCTCTTCGTCTGTGTTGCCAAACTTTGTCTTGTGGATTTTGCGCATCACCGTTACACAATCACCGACGAGCCGGCAGTAAACTCTACTGTCAACACAAGAAAGTTTTAAACTTTAAAGTCCACTAACATGAGACCCTCTGGCTCCGGGTTTTATAACGGGACCGCTACCCAAATGTGAGTTTGAGCAATGTCGGGAAAGTGCTGTGAGGATCTGTGGACGCGTGTACCGTACGAATGTGTCCGTCATACAAGTGAAAATAACTCTCCACCACAGGGGCGATCCTAGCCTGGTTGGGGCCCTGGGCTAAGTGTGCCCCGACCTACCTATTCTGAAAAATTATTTATTTATTTTGAATGTATTTACTTTTATTTGACGTAATAGCACAGACTATAAAAACATATGAAATAAAAAAATATATTTCTATATAAATGAGCACAAAAATACATACGATAGTAATTTACAGTTTAATACAGATAATACAATTTTAACAGTTGTCCAATATAATAACTTAGACATGTCTTGTTGACTCCTTGTTACATTTATTTCAAGCTTTGTTCTTAATCTAGCTACATCTGATCTGAAAACATCTGATCTATCTATCTATCTATCTATCAACTCTACTTCAACATGATTAAATAATATCTGAAACCAGTGTTTAAACAAAAACATTTCAAAAAGCTTTAATTAAAGAAGGAATATCTTGTTGATGTGGATTTGTTTTACACTGTAACAGCAACAGCTGACTGGAGACCATCCCCCTTTGACGAAGGTCTAAGTCACAGCCCTCATGTCACTCAAGCCCAGTTGGAGCTCCCTGCTCCTGGTGACTCATTGTTTTTTTAATAGAAAATACTTCAGCTTTACTTCTTTACTACTTTTCTAATACTACTTTGTCCTGTTAAACTCACTGATGTCAGGGTACAGTTAAAACATAAGAACCACAAGAAGACATCCTCTCTGCAACGGTGTAAACAAGTGTCTCCTTTGTGCCAGAAAAGACACCAAAAAATGTTTTATTCAGAGTGTGGTTTTAACCCTATAACACCAAACGTATCATATTTGTAGGTGCAATGGGTTGAGTGCTGCTTAGGAGCACTCGGTGTTATTAACCAGTCTCAAATTAATAACACAACCAGTCTCGTTAAAGTTATCTTTGATTATTATTTTAACCTACTAATATAGCATGAATGTATTACTTGGAATATTACACATATACTATAATCAATAGTATTAATAACAACTAAATATCTGAAGGATTTTTAGAGTTCTTGGCAAATTGGGTGGCTTCCATGAATAAAGTAACAACACAGACAAATACAGTTTACAAAAATAATCAAATTTATTTATACTTTACTGTCAAGTTAATGACGGTGATTGAACTCATAAACAATGATCATAACAACAAAACAAGGCGTGTGTGTGTAGGTGTGTGTGTGTGTGTACTTGTGTGCGTGTGTACACGAGTGGTTGTGTAAGAGAGAGAAAGAGAGAGAGAGATGTTGCCTCTTAGCTACCAAGCAAGCGACTGAGCCCTTGAGGCGTGTTCACATACGCAACTGCGCAGTGGAAGAAGAACTGCGAGGTAGAAGGAACGGCAACAGGAAACACGTGAGGCGTGTATGCGCTCACGGAGGTGTGAA